GGGGGGGGGGTAAAACACAGAGTATGCATGGGCTTTTCCTTTGGTTTCTGTATTTACACTTTCTAAGAACAATTGAATTTTCTGGAGCTGTTGAATTATTCGGATGGATGGTGGGGTGAAATATTCAGGAGTTTGTAATAGTCGGGAAAATACGTCTGGGGAATTTTGCGATAATGAGTTGAGGATTGTTCTGATGATTTATTCCAGCTTAATAGAATTATTGATTGAATGGCCATTGAAGTGGATTAAAAATCACCAAATGAATCGAGGGAATTAATTCTTGAGGAGAAATTGTAGTTTTCTATTCGTTTGACATTTAAGGTAGTGAATTCGTTGAATTTTCAAACATCTCTTTATTGACTATCACGGAAAAAAATATTGATTCACGTATATTTTATACTCAATTGGGGGATGGGTATTTCTATCCGACGATGATTCTTTTGCATCAGGCTGGGTTGTAGCAAGTTCTCTTAAGTGGAATATAAGGGTCAAAAAGTGGAGGTTTTTAATTGAAAACCAGAGTTTACAACAGCGATGTCAGACAAGATATGAATGTTTTTTTTGGGCTCAAATGCGTTTATTTGCTCTCAATTTCAATTCCAAAATTAAACATGAATATGCTAATAACACAGTAATAACACGACAGTTTGGAAGGCCAGAGCCAACGAATTGTCGGATTCAGATATTATTCACGATACTCCCAAATGTGTTCTATTTACTGTTGAAAATAACGTCGTCCTGGGGGTTTGTTTGCTGTCATTATCGAGAGAGTATAGTTCGGTTGAATTGCATGGGGACAAGTTTGGGTGGCGCGTAATGAAATTAACTTGGTCGTGGGCACACACAATTGTGCTACATGCCGAGGGTAACATCTCCCTTCTCCTTCCCCTTCCCTCAACCCAACCACCCAACCTATTTGAATCCTCCGGTTGATAGTGTGCGCGTACACTCGTGTGAAACGTGCGCGCAATTACATAGTGAAATGGTTAACGAGCGTGATTTGTACGTCAGCGTGTGTAAATTGAAGGAAATTGGGAGATACTCGAAAAGTTTGGGCCAAGTTTTGCGCTCATTACGGAGTCATTAGGTACATATTAGGAATGTAAATATTGTTTGGGGGTGCAGCCAGGGAAATTGGACTTTTTGAGAAAATAACAATTTTTATTTCACATTTTTTTGTTCATTTCAGTGCGTTTGGTTTAATTGTGTGAAGTGAGTAGATTAATTTTAATAAATTCGTTCTTGTCGATGGGGGAATAATGATCGGGGTTTCAAGTCACGAAGTCCGTTATTTGGATTAAGCAAAGATTTTTTTGTGTTGGAAAAAATATTTATTCTCGTCAGAAAAAATTGCAGAAATTGCCACATGAAAATGGGTAAATGAGAATTTATTTGAATGAGACGATTTTAATTGATTTTGTGATATTTTCAAGATTGAGAAAAGATTATTTTAGCACTGGGTATTAGGAGTGTACACTGTTAGAAAAATACTCTTGAAATTTTAAGTGAAAAAGGTTGAAATTTTCAACAACGACGGAGTAACATGAAATTTCTGTATATTTTTTCACTGACGAATCAGTTAATTTGTTGAATATCGAAGTAATTCTCAATTATCAGATCCATGCGGTACTGGAAAATTTTGAAAATTGGGAAAATTCAGGCAAAAACTATTCAGAATTCTCAATATATGGAAAATCCAGTTGCATTTGACGTTTAATTTTCATAATTAGTCTCAAAATTTAAGCTTTCACTGAAATATCAATAATCACTCAACATGAAAGCGACAATTTTCTTGAATTTTCAAAATAAAATTCTTCAACATTTTAAAATTTTTCCATTCATTTCAATGCACATATGTCAATTATGTGAAGTGAATAAAATATATTTTAATACATTTTTTCTCCTCGAAGACGAAATAATGATTTTATATTCAACTGGTGAAATCTGTATTTCGATGAATAAAACATTGTGAAATGTGAAAACGAGACGTAATTCATGTAAATAAAATGACGCGACCGAAACGAATTACGTCTCATTTTCAAGAGCGAAAAAAAAATCCCACTAAAATGAAAAAAAAAACGTGAAATTTCACTCTGTTTCACTGAGTTGTTTCGGGTTAAATTGAGGATCCTCGATTGGATTGGGAGAAGGATCCTGTGGAGTACCCGAAGATAGAGATCACTTTACTGCCTGGTAGAGGCTGGAGAGAATATAGACTCGAGTGGAAGTGAAATGGCTTATGAATAGAGCGATTTTTCATTTCGCATATTTCATTCGCCCGGAGACTCTCATTTTACTATTATTCATTGCCATTCGTGAGAGTACGAACTCTCTCGTGCATTTTAAAGGCTGATAGTAATGATATTAAAGCTCCACTAATTTACGAAATTGCTTTTAACATTGTTAACGAACCGATGGTGATGAGGCAGTAGTAAATCACGAGTGTTGAAACGAATATTTTTCCTCTCAACTGCAATAACTTCGTGTCCCCTTCCCCTTATCAGATATCAGCTCAATTGAGTGGGAAATACAACAGAAGCGGTCAATCAGGGGGAAAAAATTTTCAGCGTGAATAATTTCCGAGTGCCCTCTACCGTTCCAATTCAAAATACTCATCTATCAATAATTAATTAATTAATTGGATTGCACGGAAAAATAACGTTTCAATTAGAATGGCAGAAAAATAAACTCAATGAAGTGCAAATTTATCATCGAGTATTTTTTTAAAATTCACTTATTGATGGCAAATAGAGGACGG